GGATCGCAGCTGTCGTGGATGCGTTACGTAGGACACAGGAACGAGGCTGTCCGCGTTGTTTGAAGCGAAAAGCGAAAATACGAACTACATCTAGCCCAAAATGCGAGGGGAAAACCTAAAAAGTATTATAGATACGTGCAGTCCAAGGGGGTGCTTAGGGACGAAATAGGCGCCATAAACCTGGAAGGTGATAAAATAGTCAAAAAGGACCACGAGAAGGCCATAGTACTAGGGAGATACTTTGGAAGTGTGCTTAGGGAGGATAGAGGGTGGGCTATCCCGGCTGGAGGGGTTCAACAGATCCAGACCATTGAGGACGTAGTTGTGACACCAGAGGGGGTGCGCAGGGTTCTGTCGGAACTCAACGTAAGCAAAGCATCAGGACCAGAAGGGATTCATCCAGCCATCCTTAAACCACCAGCGGATATCCTTGCTACATCCGTGAGCCTGTTTTTCCAAGTATCACTAGCGGACGGAGTTCTACCTAGTGACTGGAAGACAGCTACTGTGGCAGCGCTTCACATCGATGATCAGAAATCCGGAGTAAGAAACTATAGACCAGTAAGCCCCACCAGCGTCCTCCGTAAATGCATAGAGAAGCTAATTAGGGAACATGTATGTCGGCATTTACTGCGCTGCACCCTACTAAGTGGGTCGCAGCACCGATTCTTAAAACACAGATCCTGTCTCACTAACCTTCTGTGCTACCTGGATGAAGTCACACAAATGTTAGACGAGGGCCATATCATTGAGGTTTGCAACCTTGATTTCAGCAAAGCTTTCGATTCTTCGAACCACAGATTGCTCCTGCACAAAATCAAAAGCTTTGGGCTAGAAGGAAATGTGAATAGGTGGTTAACCCCTTTCCTCATAAATAGAACCTTCGCAGTGAGAGTAGGGGAGGCCAGTTCTCAGGTCATTCGATTGACCAGTGGAGTGCCTCAAGGTTCGGTGCTCGAACCGTTACTCTTTCTCTTATTCATCAACGACTTGGCGGGGTTAACAAACTCACCTTGTTTCGTCTTCACGGNTCCTTCACGAAATCAAAAGCTTTGGGCTAGAAGGAAATGTGAATAGGTGGTTAACCCCTTTCCTCATAAATAGAACCTTCGCAGTTCTCAGGTCATTCGATTGACCAGTGGAGTGCCTCAAGGTTCGGTGCACAGACCGTTACTCCTTCTCTTATTCATCAACGATTTGGCGGGGTTAACCA